CCTCTGTCACATCGTCGTAATGTTGCTTCTTTTTCTCTTTTCTACAAATACTATAATGGGCACTGCTCTAAAGAGCTATCGTCTCTTGTGCCATCTACTAAAATTCATTCTCGTGTTACTCGTCATTCAATTAAGTCTTATCCTTTTTCTGTTACTGTTCCTAAGTGCTCCAAAAACTCTTATTCGTCTAGTTTTTTTTCTCGAACATCAGTTCTTAGGAATTGGTTTCCTTCATCTTGCTTTCCTGATTCATATAATTTGCAATCTTTTAAGTCGTCTGTCAATCTTTATCTTGCTCTACAATCTCCATCTTTTCTCTTCCAGTAACTTCCAACACTAATTAGTGGTTGCTTGCAGCTTTGTTGGAAGCGAAGATGTTAAAAAAAAAAAAAAAAAAAAAGTGGTTTTAAAATAAACAAACGGCTAAAACTATATTATACAAAATTATAGTTGAAGTTATAGTTATCACAGTCTATAACACAAGCCTACAAAAAAAAAAAGTTTTTTGGTGCCTAAGATTTAATAATTGATTTTAGCTATATTTTTGTTGCTGAATCTGAATTTGAAAACAATTTTTCTCTATCAGCTCTAGTTTTTAAGATAAATTTTTTTAAGTTGCGATTTTACATGAAATTAACAGTTTTAACTTCATTTAGTAATGTTATAACTTGTATAGACAATGTTTGGTTGCAGTATTCTATATATTTGTTATATATTCAGTTTATTGGTCTGTTTGCAACAGGAAAATCCACTAGGTGGAGTAACCATACTGTAAATTAAGTGAACTTCAACTATAATTGAGATTAGTATGAGAGTTGTTGTGCGGAATAGATGAAAGTTGGTGTCGCGTGATATTTCTATTTTCTGAAGTGTTGTTAAGTTAACCTAAATAGTATTGTGTTGTAAATTGTTGTGCATTTTTATATTTAGATCTAGATAAAATAAGTTCAAATAGAAAAAGTTGTGTGAATCACCCTGATGTATTTTGCTACATATGCGAAGAATATATGTTAAAAGAAAACAGAAAAAAAAGATAGTGACTTTTTAAAGAGGGCTTATCTTGCATACTTTGGTGTTAGGCTTGGGGATCAAGATAAAACCTGGGCCCCACATCAGGTCTGTAAAACTTGTACAGAACATTTACGACAGTGGACTACCAGGAAAAGAAAAAGTATGAAATTCGGCATGCCAATGGTTTGGAGAGAACCACGAAACCATTTCAATGATTGTTATTTCTGCATATTAAATATTACTGGAATCAATTGAAACAACCATAGCAAGTGGACTTGATTTATTATCTGCAAGACGACCGGTTCTTCACTCAGAGGAAGTTCCAATCCCAATGTTTCTCCAGCTACCAGAGCTCTGCGAGGATAAATATTGTGCTTCTAATTCTTTTAATACTAATGAAATTGACAGTGATTATGAGGGAAAGGCATCTATTCCACAACAATTCAACCAAGATGAGTTGAATGACCTTACCAGAGGTCTCAATCTATTAAAAGAAGCTTCTGAATTACTTGTTTCCAGATTGAAGGACAAAAATTTAATGGAACAAGGAACCAAAATTACTTTCTACCATACACGAGAAAAGGATCTGCTACCCTTCTTCTCTCAAGAAGAGGATCTTGTATTTTGTCACGAAATTAGAGGACTCCTAGAAAAGATGAGTCTTCCTAAATATTTTTAAGATGACTGGCGTCTATTTATTGATAGCTCAAGCGAAGTTTGAAATGTGTTCTTCTGCACAATGGAAACAAATTTGGTTTAATACCAATTGCTCACTCAACAAAAATGAAAGGAGAATATAACACCATTGCTTTAATCTTGGAAAAGCTAAAGTATCAGCAACATCAATGGGTGATTTGTGTTGACCTAAAAATAGTTAACTTTCTCCTGAGACAGCAAGCTAGTTACACTAAATATCCTTTTTTTGTGTGTCTTTGGGATAGCAAGGATAAAACACACCACTGGACTAAAAAAGAATGGCCTAAGAGAAAAAACATGGAAGTTGGGAAAAATAATTTAATTAATAATACCTTAGTTGAACGAGATAAAATCATTTTTCCTCCACTGCATATCAAGCTGGTCCTTTTGAAGCAGTTTGTAAAGGCTCTTGATAAAAACGGATCGTGTTTTGGATATATAGGGGAGAAGATGCCACAGTTGAGTACAGAAAAAATTAAAGCAGGAGTATTTGATGGTCCGCAAATAAGACAATTTATTAATGACTCTGCCTTCGTGAATTCAATGAATGAAACTGAGCAAAAGGCTTGGACTTCATTTGTTGCAGTTGTCAGAAATTTTCTGGGCAAACGCAAAGATGAAAATGATGTTAAACTGGTTGACGACATGCTTAGCAGTTTCAAATCCCTCGGATGTAATATGAGTATTAAGTGCACTATCTACACAGCCATTTAGATCGTTTTCCTAAATACTTAGGAGACATGAGTGAGGAGCAAGGTGAAAGATTTCACCAAGATATTAAAACTATGGAGGATCGATACCAAGGAAGATGGGATACGCACATGATGGCGGATTACTGCTGGAATTTAAAAAGAGATAATTCTAAAATACATTCAAGAATATCACGGAAAAGAAGTTTCTGGGTTGTTTAGTGACTATAGTTTGTTTCATAAATATTTTTTCTTTTGTCTTTACATATAATAACTATATATATAATAGAGTGTAATATACCATATAGTTTACATTTCTATAGCATAATAATCAAAATTTAATCAAAATTTCATGTTTATTTTGTTAATTTGATTCCAATCAAAACCCTTTTCAAAAGGATAAAAACCATTTTCATAAAAGGTATAAAAAATTTTTGTTTTTTAGGGTAAAGGAGCCATCGCCCCCCTAGCCCCCTCATTGGCGCTTCTTATTTCATTAAAATGATATATCTCAAAAATGCGAGCTGATTGGCAAAATCTAATGGTATATTTGAGTTAAGGGCATCAAACTCATATACAATTTGCTGCAAATACCCCGGCACCAAAATAGCTGTTGGCCTGTGTAATTATTATGGTATCTCTATGTATTATTGTGGAACTTAGATGATATCTATAGTTTTATCTATCTATAGTTAGATATCTATAGTTAGATATCAATAGTTTTTTAATATTTTTAATAGTAGTAGTGTCCCTTGGAGCGTATTTGACACGAAACCCTTGGCAGCCATTGCAACCAAGGTATTGGCGAGAAAGAGTCTCACCTTTGCTTTATAAAAAAATGTTAGTAAACGTGAAACTTGTATCATATGTACGTAAACTTCATGTTATATAATGCTAAAACATACTTAAACATATATCAAGTTTTACAGTTTGACTTTCACTTTCACTAAACTGTATTGCGTCAACCTCTTCTTAATTTCTGATCTTTAGTATCTATATCCATTAAAAACAATTTTTATATAGTTTTAAAATTTCAAAGATCAACATGTCAGTATGGCCAAGTGGTTAGCTGAGCTTCTAAACAAGAAGGCCGTGATTCGAATCCAACCACCGGTGTTTTTT